AAGCGTAATATGCTAGTTAGACCGGACTTCCTTCCAGATGACCTTCCAGATGAAGCAGAGGCTGCAAGAGAAGCCCGTGTCCTGGGTGCCTGCCAGTGGCTGGAGGGAAGCCCGGGTCCCGGGTGCCAGAGGGGAGCCGCTGCCGGCAACCAGGGAAGAAAGCCTACTCTTGCATAATTTCGTGCATCTGGCCTCTAGTTACCTCATAATTGGCCAGACAAAAGCCCACCTAAGCATCTTTTCCTCTTTATTTGTCCTATTTCTGCAGGAGTCTTGCCTAACTCTTCCTCTTCTCTTTCCAGGCCAGTTTAATTTTCCTCTGCATGCCCTTCTAGCTTTCCTCTGCACCCCCACAGCTATTCCCCACAACTGAGTCCATCACCCTCAACTTGGGCAATGGCTGTAACATGTCACCCTAATCTCCGGATCTAGCATGTTTCACAACAGCCTACACCAGCTTCTTGTCTTCACACTCCTTGATTTGGCATCCACCACCCACTACAGTCTGGGCCCTCTCACCTCACATTACCCCCAGCACACCAGCCCAATTGTCCACTGACAATCTAACTTCTCACACTCTGCACACCCCATCTCTGCCCAACCCATCTTCCCCTGGGATGAAGCCCTGCTCCTTCGCCAAGGCTCATGCCCACCCCACCTCCCATGACCCCTCCCACCTATCTCCATCCTCAGGCACTTCCTCGGCACTGGAGCATATTTAGACTTTCCCAGTCTCTCTCTCCAGCTAGACCGCACCTTTCTGCCTTTGCCCATTGCCTCCTTTGCTGCCACCCCCAGGGCTTTAGCACAGGGGAATCCTCAGTGAATTTCTGTGAAGGGCTGAGCTGAGAGGGCCAACCACAGGGGAGCAGAAATCCTGGGTCCTCTCACCTGGATGACCATGGGCAAGAGTTTCCCATCAGGCTGCAGTTTCAGCATGACCAGAGGGGCAGCCAGGTATTGCTGGCTACACAGGATGACGTTAGCCTTGATCCCATCCAGCAGGGAGAAGTCGGCTTCAAACAGCGTGCCTCCCTGGATGGGGCAGAGGGCGGGGCTATCAGTGTAAGGCATCTTCTTCCCACCCTGATTCCCCAAAGGAAGAACAAGAAGGAAACTAACTTATCTCCATCTTGCCTCCTACTTTGTAACAGGCAATGGATCACATGCTATGGCTTCACATAAGTCTTACAAGCTCTTGAATTAACTCCAGGTTTATAAAAGAAGGAAACATAATAAAAGAGGATAGGAGGTAACTTGCCTGAAGTCACACAGTTTATAAACAGCACAGCCAGGGATCAACCCAAGTCTGTCTCACCCTATAATGCATGAATTTTCTCTGCCCAACCCATCAATTGATCCATGTTGACTCCTGTTTAATAAGCCCACCCCTGATCTCATTCTCTTGCTGCACACTCCCCTATATCCTTAGCACCAAGCCCCGGTTATTTCTTCAGTTTGATTGCATCTATCACCCATCACACACTCTTCTTCCACAATACG